ATTACTTGGATTCTTGGTCTGTTGGTTGGACAACACAACTTATTTGAAGATGTCACATTTGGCTTTAAGAAATTGTGACTGTAGGCAAAACCTATTTTTAAATGTTAAGTGGGATTTTTTTGGACCAAACAATAAATTGGTTAGTAGAGAAAATAATCAGGAGTCTATAGAAGTAACCCTTAGTGTGAGAAATCTAAGTATAACACAGGAAGATGGAGGCCAGCATGAGAAACTCAGTAACAATCAAACGAAAGAGACATGTGTTGATACTAATGCGGATGTAAACTGAAGAAACAATAAGGTTGACCTGTGTTTACAATAAACACAGGTCAACAGGGTCCTCAAACATTTTCTCATTGTGTGTGAACACGCCTGCATACAGTTCACTTTCACAGGAAGCAGTGCATGCTCCTTTATGTCCCCCTACTAGGGCTTGCCAAGTGCTTGCATGTGTGTGTATCTATGTGAGTGTGTGAGAGAGTGAAAGAGAGGTTTATCTCTGTCTGCTAAAAGACGTGCGTGTGAGCAGAGCAAGCCACTGAGCTTCTCTGTGCAGCCGCTTCGTGTGAGCGTCTGCGTGCCAAGCCGAGTGTGCGTGTGTGTGTTTGTGTGAGTGTACACAGTGGTGTGCAAGTCTATGACCGAGGGAAGGAGAGAAGCTGCCAAGTGCGTCTGTGTCAGTGACCGCACAAGGCAACCGAGGGTCATGGAAGTTCACAGCTCTCTGCCATGAGTGCTGTAAAGTCTGGTTTGGACGCAGCTCTGACCAATCACTGGGCTCGGATTGGGAGCAGGGGAATACAGGAAATAGATAACCGATATCAGGGCCCGGGAGATGGAGTGCCATGCCTCCGCAAGGGCATGATAGCTGATAGGAAAGTTCAGATAGAGTGATACATGGAGGGTACATATTAACTGGAAGATGTGAAGGCCAAACACACAAACAGAGGAGATAGAGTGACGACTACATACAAACATAAGCAACATTGACTGTACAGGGAGTAGAGAAAGTAACACTCATAGTTGCTTGGCCACAGTCCATTAGCCATACATGCACAGAGCAGCTGTGGAGTTGGAGCTTTCAGTTTGATACCGGTGGTGAAACTGAAGTGGGAGCTCGGGCTGAGGTCTACTGTTTCCATCACACCGAACCAGAAGTGGCTTATCATTCACAAGCAGCCTATCAGTTTACTGCACCATTGTTGCCATGTCACAAGCGCCTATCAATTTACTGCACAGTAGGCTTTTCAGCAGAGCTTACAACAGAGAACGGTGCAGGTGGGGCTGCAGTGTACTGGATGTTTCAACTATATCGATCCAGAATGAGGATTTTGTCTAAATTTAAAAATCTATATTTTACAGAGAAGTTCTTCTCAGTATCATTTCAGTGTTGTGCCCAGAATGAACAGAAATGCTGATGCCCCTCCACAAGTGCATGAATTGTAGTTTCACTTCCTATTCTGAACTGATTGAACTGAAAGCGAACTGACCCCCGACCCACAGACACAGATCCAAAATAAAATTAGAGAAGAGCTCTAGTGTTCTCACAGTGGGACCCTGTGTGTTGAGGACACGGTATATGGACAGTGTAACATGTAAAAGCCAGCAGGTTGCAGTAAACGTACAGTGGGATACTTACTGAAACTTGAGCCTGACTTGCTCATTGTCAGGGTTGCAGTACAGTCTCTCCAGCTGTTCCTGGGAGTCATCCGCTATGCTCTGCCACGTCTGACTACTGTTCCTGTGGATCTGCCAGTGGAAGGGCAGCACAGTGTGGTGGTGGGCGCAGTCGTTGCCATAAACACACTGTCCTTGTAGGAAATCCACACAGATGTCCACAGAGTCTGACTGGTGCGTGTGATACTGGAGTTGAGTGAGCAGCTCGAAAACCAGGTCCAGGGAGGCCTCTTCACTTTTATCCTGAAATAGAACTCCTTTGTTGGGCTGCGGGAGGAGGGGAAGGGGGTCCTGAACTCCAGCACAGTCTTTGACTGGAAGGTTTTTAGCCCCAGAGGTTAAGAGGTCATTGCTTATGATGGGCCCATCCTGTCGAGGGGCCTGGGGTGCAACCAGGGGAGGTATATCCCTGACGGGGGGCGTTATTGTCACTGTGTTCCCGGCTGCCCTGAGGGCAGGCTTCAGCTGAAAGCAGCGGCTGTCGGGGGTCGGGTCGGTGATCTTGGGTCGTTCCCCTCGTCGCTCCGTCTCCTCCAGCTCCGCAGTAGTATCGGCTATTTCCACATCACCGTCCCGGGACATCAGTCCCGCTACTCCAGCCCCGGCCGCGGCACCGTCCGCAGCTCCCGGATTTTTGAGACACACCTGGCCCATGCGGCTCTGCTTCACCACGGCCGCACACAGGTTGCCCGGCGTCCGACCCGGCTGGGTCCGGGGAACAAACACTCCATCCCCGGACACCAGCGTGTCCGTGCTCAGTAGCGTGGTAAGGATGGGGTCCTCCAGGGCTCGGTGGAGACATTTGGAGTCCAATTTCCTCTGCTTCTTCTTGAAATACGGTTTCACCAGAGGTATTTTGTCCGGGAGCCCCACGATCTGCCGCTCCGTGAAGCCTTCCCCCTCGTCCATGTTTAGACTCACATCCAGGGAGATGCCGGTCGGTACGCCCGCGTCTGCGGCTTTCTGGAGAATGTGCAAAGTTTTATCCATGATCGTCTCTGCTACACCCCGACAGTCCTGGGAGAAAGAGAGAAGAGAAAGAGGGAGTCATGAAAGTCCACACCTCTGATCCTTCAGTTTCCAGAGTAGAGTCATCCTGGTGTAAACAGCGATGATTAACACGGGCTATTAAATAACTATTTCCTTTTCTGGGAACAACCATCGCTCCGTGAAAACTGAAACGAAACCTGTCTAACCCTCTGTTAATGAATATAACACCGCTGATGTGATCTCATAATGACCCTGCAGATAAAACACGGTGATCCTGCAGATATAACAGTGATCCGACATTAGCAGCTCCTACAGGGGTGTTACAGCAACAGTGTGTTCCGCTGACTCTCCCGTGGACCGGGCGGTAAGTGAAGCGGAAAAATATATTACCTAACCCCTCTGTGGGGAACTCGAGCCCGGAGTCACCAGCCTCAGATTAATCATGAGGGGGGAAAAAAAACGAAGATCATAGCAGGACACGGTCCTCAAGCTTTTTGTTTTTTTCACCCGGGTGTCTATAACGTCATGCCCGCAATTACAGCTGCGTCTCAGGAGCAGCAGCGATAAAATCACCGCTGTAACAAAACCCCTCTCTCTCCCGGGACTAGATATTTTGATCACGGGTCCGATACGCGGCCACTGCCGTCTACGTGCAGCTCACACACCGCTGCTCGAGCAAGTTTGCACGTAGGCTCCAGTCGACACACACAAAAACACACACACACACACACACACACACACACTCACAAGGCATTGCGGCGGAGCAACGACAAAAGACAAACGAGGGGCACCCCGACCGGAGCTTTCTTTCCTATCCTCCCCCACTGCAGCGCTTCCGTCCCGGGGAAACACTTGTTCGACGCACCCGGAGCTTTTCCACAAACAAAAAACACCCGTCAGAGAAGCACTGCAGTAGAGGCAGGGTCAATTGTTACCACACGACCGGATTTAAGAATACGGCGGACACCCTGTCTGTATTCCTGACACCCACACGACAAAAAGAAAACCCTACCTGCGCGATAAAGTCCGCCCGTCTCCCCCTGGTCTCGACACTCTTTGGTGGGTAAAATCCAGTGCGCACATCGATGGAGCTCCGTGTCCAGTCTGGGGGGATATAAAAACAAAAGGCCTGGTAGGTAAGTATCCGTGTCTGGACTCCACCGTAGTCCGCTTAGCGCTGCTCGTGTCCCGACGCTGCCCCCGCCGCTCTCATGCTCTCGTCTTTCTTTACTTCATGCCGTCCCGTGCCTGTCTTTGTGTCCGTCTGCAGGAAAGAGGCGCAGGGCCGAGGGCACAGACCGACATCGAGCGGAGCACAGCTGTGGAGGGACACACGGCTGCCTCCCCGCTCCGAGCAGCCAGGCCCCGCCCCGTCAGCTCACAGGCGGGGCTCCGCTGCGAGCAGGCGGGGGAGAGAGAGGGAGGCGTCTGCTGGTGATCGGAAGAAGCTGCACTGGGGCGCGGAGACCCGAGGGGGGCCCGTCTCCAGGGCCCCGGAAGTAATACAAAGTAAAGTTGAGACTAGTACAACACACTTCCCTGACTGCCAAATGAAATTAGAGATGGAATGTATGAACTAAAGTACATCCATGCCAATACTGTGCATTCACATAATCATAATCAAAGATTTGTCTGAATCTGTTCAAAGCCCCCAGGTTGTTTTTTTTGTTTTGTTGGGCCCCTATTGCATTGTGTATGTACCACCCTGACACCACAGGTAAGCTACAGTGCTAACAACAGCCACAATAAAGCTGTTTTCTGACATTAATCACTGTGGTGTCATCAAAGTGTCCGGAACATTCGGGCCATGGGTGGAATCTGAGTAGAGGACATGACGTATAATTTCAGTTGCGGAAAGCAGTGTTTTTGTAGCGGCCGTATTGCTCAATGAACGAAAATAAAGTAGTATTTTTTCCGATGTAACAACCGAAAGAAATTGCCTTAGAATGACCTATAAATAATAAGCAATGGCTAAATAACAATTTAACAGTAATTAGTTACAAATTCTAAACCATTTCTAAAGTATTTCTTAAAAGAAAGTGTTGATGGAACTGCTTCTTATCAGAAACAGTGCATCGTATTTGAAAGCTAATTAAATTTAGGTCAAGAAATGTTGTACGTTTACGTGTCTTATGAAAAAGATTATCGGTCCATACAAGAAATTTGTCTATCCAAGCATTTTCTTAATTATGTCTTTTTTGAAGATGATTATCTCTCTCAAATCGACAGTTCCCTTAAAAAGGAGAACTGCACTGAGAACATTTGGTTGTTTTGTCACACCGCCGTGTAATTTCACAGAAGACTAAACATGAAACCTGCTGAGACACGATTATAATTCCACCAGATGCAGATATGAAGGGAGGTGAGTCATTTTTCATACACCAATCCAACATTCACTGGTTTCTTAATAATGTATTCAAGAAGCCAGACTCTGTTCCGTCCAACTGATCTGTCACATTTCCATAAGGGAGTGTAATGTTTACTGAGTCAGCTTTCCTCTCCTCCCTGTTTTACCGCAAGTCGTTCTTAAGAACCTGTTGTGCTGCAAGTGTCTTCCGGTGCAAGTTGCGTTGTTTGCGGATGAGCCCCTTAAGAGTTCACTAGGTCTTATGTAGGAAGCTTGGTGTTATCATCAGATCAGTTTCCACATCACGACCTTTGTGGCTCCAGATGTGTGGCTTTAAAAATATGTTATGTCAGTTAAAAGCTATTGTTCCCTTTCAGCAGGAACGAGAAACAGTTAGAAGTTATATTAGGAAACCCACAATCCAAATAGTCAGCTGAGCATTTAACCCATTTAGTGTTAATGTAGAGTTGTCTCTGTGAGGATGAGAGATAATAGACAGATGAAACATTTGGTCTTGTTTTTTTTTATAATGTTCAAAAAAGTGAAATAACAGGAAATTAAAGTAACCCTCATTTCCCCCCCAGGAACCCCGAAGTGAGTCGCAACGGAGGAAACACTAAATTGAATATGTTATTCATGAGATTAATTATCTATTAATAACCCTGTCAGCTGTGTTTAAGCTTGTGTGTGTTTTGTAACATCTGCCACCATTAACCCCTGAACTTAAATGACAAAGGGTCAATAGGGCATTTGTGCTAATGCGCCGCAGCTATTTACATGCAAATCTCTTCACACCACAAACCACCAATGGATCTCTGCGCTGTTCTTGAATGGTTCACTTTTCTACGTGCGGGCCACAAGCTGTGGTTCAAGAGGTTAGATATTAACATAAATGTGTACCACCGTGCGCCAGACAAACACCGATTTCGTCAGAGAAGCTCCAGTGAGTGTTAGTAATAGGGAAATTACAAGCTTGCAGCTGAAGACACTGGGGAACTGACGTATATGAGAGTAATTGCCTGGTTGCATACCGACAGCTCTTGAGCATTCCTCCTCAGCTGACATGCATAACGAAGTCCCATTGTTCGAGTTGCGACTTGTCTCGGAGGACGCCCCAATAAAAGGGATACCTGCCTGCCAACCCCAGCTCACTTATTGTCTCTCAAAAGTCAGTGAGGGAGCTCAGTGCATGACCTGACAAGTTCTGCGATGATCCTTTAATATAGCTGGGAAGGAGCTGCTCTTATGATTGATAGTAACCTAAAGGAATATTGCTTAAATGCTGTAATCATGAAATTAAAAATAGCCTGAAAGTTCACCTGTACTGAATGTGTTATTAGAGTATTTATATTGCAGGACCAAAAACAGGGTCATTCTCAGACTAAGGCTGCATCCATACTTATATGTTTTCATTTTAAAACAGAGTTTTAAACACAAGCATTTTAGCTTTGCATCAGCCCCTTTCCATACATACACACCAATACCACATGACCATTTACACACACTGGCCAAGTGCATGCTGTTGTAATCAGGAAGCAGACAGTCTACTCTGTCTACTACAAACTAGAAGCAACAATGGTGAAAAGTAGGAGCAACAATGAGGCAGAACCATCGCTGAGGCTACAACCATATTCCATTTTAGTTTGAAAGCAGCCTTCTTCCAGCTTTTAAATCCCATCCATACGAACATGTCTGAAAACTGTGTCTAAATTAAAACAGTGCCTCCAGCGTTTCCAAACTTTAGCAGGTCTAAATCTCCAGTGCTGTGGATGTCAGGCGTGTCCATAGCAGAGTTGATGCATTTTAAAATAAAACTGTAGTTGTATGGATGCAGCCTGACAGAAAGTATTTAGTTTTCCATTCATCATTGGGAGTTGAGTCGTGACTAATAGAAAAAACAATCAGGAAGCAGATCTGGGTGACTGATTCATCATTTCTAAATATTTCTGCATGTCCATACTAGAATGCTCCCCTGGAGAAAACAGGGTCCACAGCGTTTCCAAACTTCTCTGTTTGACATGCTCAAAAACTCTGCAGTAGTGTGGACGGCAGCCATAAATGCAGCGCAGTGATGCGTTTTAAAACTGAAATGTAGTAGTGTGGATGACGCCTCTAAATAGACTTCATCAGTCCCAGTAGATACATTTCTGCCCCTTACCTCCCTGAAAAGGAGAGCAAAGGTCAGAGCAGCAGGGCACATGCTCTTTAGTCGCAAAAACATGAGCCCAGGTGTGTTTTGAAACCCTAGGCTGGCGGCCGCTCTATCTCAGTCCGGAATAAAACAGACAGTGGACTAATTCTATGAAGCGACAGCACATGAAAGGGCATTAGGCAGGTCTTTGTAAGTGGCAGGGTAAAGGTGCTGTGTTTCAGCCCCCGCCCTTCTGAATCTTATCAGTCCACATGCCTGCACACAGCACAATTACTGGAGGCAGATCAGTTAGTGCCGGTGACAGGCCCTCAGCCTTGACACGCCTGTTTTACACACAAAACTGTTCCACTGCATGGAAACAAAAAATACTTTTATTGCAGACTACCAGTGGAACCAGCAGCTGCTGTGAACAACTATGAAAGTCTCTGTGTATAATTACTGTCATTATAGGCCAGTCATTTTTCCTAATATCAATCATAATGGGTACATTTCTGTATTTTACACAACTATATGGAGTGTGATGTGAGAGGTTTAGAGTAACACATCTATGCAACAAGTTCATTCTTTATGTTTACTAAAGTAAATGACTGGTAAAGTATATGTACATTAGCATGAGTAACTTAAGTATTTAAAGAACTCTTCCACCACTAACCGGGCTACACCGATGTGACGGAGAGCATGTGAGTGACCTGAAACTGTTTGTTTTATATGACTAAAGATGTGTTACCTCCAACGCCCATAGCAGGTGTCTTAGTTTGTGAGTCAGCAACTCAGCTTGTAGCGATCTTTCAAATCAAAACTGGTCCTGTGTGTCTTATACCACCTCTGAGACATGTTTTTATATGCAACTGTTAACTAACTGATAACTGCTTTCTTGTAACACATGATGCATCGTGCAAAACAAGGAGTTAATGGGCTGTACCAAATAGCCACATGAATACTGGGAACATGTCAGTGATGTGAATAACTCTAAATGAGGCGTATTTCTATGTTTTTTATTATCAAATTTTTCCCCTTTAATTCAGCCAAAGACAGAAGACAACACATGAAAACATTGCGTGTGGTATCCACAAGAATAGAAGAAGGATGAAAATTGTAGCAGGGAGATAAAAACACGAGGCTTAAGCAGAACATTAAAAAATATGACGCATATGCTTGGCTCACTCTGTATGTTTCCCATCTAAAACATGTGTTTTTAGGTCATCGATACAAAGAAAATCCCAACAGCTGCTTTGTGTTGCATGCAGCGTGAAACAAATCAGTATCTGAATAATCAGAAAACTGTCAAGCATTCTGAATTAATTTGAGTTTAAAAGGCAAACAGGTAGCATCACTAGCTGCAACCACACAGAGCCGATGTGCAGGAAATGTCTTTAAATGTGACTTGTTTATGCAGGGCAGCTTTAATACGTGAACACACCCGGAGTTATTTGATGTAATCTCTGACTAAAATTGTTCTCTCTGTGTTCTGTGTTCCAGCTACACCAGGAAAAACTTAACAAGAGCATCTGTTGGAGATGTGTGTGGTTTTGCATGCACCAAAATCTACTTTTTGGAGACAACAGCAACGACAGAAAAAAAAAATGGTGAAGTGATGATGTAACC